AATGGGAACACACTTACTACTCAAAAAACCAGGAACTCTAGACTCTGAACTCTTGACTGTTATGCCTACTTATCTTTGCATCCATTCTGGACATAGTGCCTGATGCACTGAAGGTACTCATGATTTCTTGTTGAATCAATGAGTGAAAATGGATGGAAGGCAACACAGTCTGCTTATTTACTAAGTAGTGAATGATACAGCCCAAGAACACCTCAGAGGTATTTCCTATATAGGGAACTGAAGAATTTGTGAGTCTGTTTTGAAAAGCTATAGGGGTCTACCATGACTGCATTTTGAGAGAAACTGTCCCATTAACATGTGCCTGCTTAGAGAGCAACCATGGGTGGTTCCATAAATATTGGCTCTTTCCCAGTGCCAAAAGTGACCGAAATGACACTCAAGCATTTGACAACTGATCTGTCCACTAAGTATTGGTTTATGATATGACTTAGTCGTGATTAAACTGGACCAAATTAAGGCTCCAGAGTGGAGCCTTGTAAATGGTGTACAATAGAGTTGGGATGTTTGTTTCTGAGGCCCCGAGTACTAGAGATCCTTCCCTAAGTTATTGATCAACTGCTAGAACTATCGCTGTGTCTTTTGAATAGTCCAGTCTCAGTGAGGTCTTGCATTGTGGTAAAACAACAGCACAATCATGTATAATTCTGAGTCCTACATTTTACATGGGATGATACCAAACCGCCAGGTGTTCAGAGAGAGGCAGGGAAAATGGTTTGGTGTTGACTTTGCATAAGGTGTGCCTGAAGGGAGTGCTCATGCTTAGACCAGAGCAGGAGAATCTGCGGGGGTTACAAAGATAAACTCGGAGAAATGTGAAAAAGAGATGGCATGCATTCTCGGTAGCTGTAGAAGAAAGGCCAATAAATTAAAGAAACAGGGAGGTAGATGTGTTTACATTCAATTAAAGAAGAAATTTGCCAACCTTTTGCTGACCTGTGAGAGAGTGATCTTGGATGATAAAACTGCAGTGATAAGATATTGCAGATGAGATTTCATTGGATAATTAGAGATTCTTCAATTTAAAGAATGTATTGTTGTCCAGTTTATAGGAACTTTTTTTTTCTTAGAAAACTAGGCTAATTATCAGAGGTGGAGTTACCATAAACTTTAGAGTTCCTCATTTTTAATTCTTCGAGAAAGACCCAAATAACTCTGTTTTTTGTATTTTTGTGTTATTTTACTTAAAGTCCCCCCCAGATTACATAAGTTTAAGGTCTCATGAAACCTGAAATGATCATTGTTAATAGTGATGATTCACAATACCACAAGGATGTAAGGCTATTCCATTCAGATTTGAATGCACAAATTTGAATTCCTATTCTAATTTATGCATATAAAAACTTTAATATGTGGAGCTAGCCCTGATGGCCTAGTGGTTAAAGTTTGGTGTGGTCTGCTCTGGCAGCCCAGGTTCGGTTCCCAGGCATGGAACCACAGCACTTGTCTGTCAGTAGCCATGCTATGGAGGCGGCTCACATAGAAGAACTAGAAGGACTTACAACTAGAATAAACAACTATGTACTGAGGCTTTAGAGAGGAAAAAATAAATAAAAGAGGAAGACTGGCAACAGATGTTAGCTCAGGGCAAATCTTTCCCGGCAAAAAACCCCACAAAACTTTAATATGTGGAATTCTGATAAGAACAAATATGTTCATTTGTGATATAGTGATGAAAACTGAACCATTGTAATGAAGGGCTCTGCAGAAATGCTGGCTCCTAAAGCACCAATACAAGTAAAGGAATTAAAATGGATATTTATTTTCTGGAAAGTCAGATTTAAATAATACATTTTATCATAGAACCAGACACATAGTAGGCGTCCAATAAATATTTGCTTCTCCATGGAAATCTTGCATTTTTATGATTTTATTTAAACTTGATTTTCAGGTAGAATCATTACCGATACTTAAGTTTACTTATATTTTTGCAAGGGGTTCAGATAAGTTGACATTCAGTTTTATTTTGTAGAAAAATATGTTTTTACCTTTAATTGTCTGAAAATAAAATGGAAATCTACTCATCATTACCAGCAAAACAAAAAATAACTAAAAAGACAAGCAATAAATGAAAACGGTCTTCTACTTTTTATTGCAAATGAGTGAACAGCACATTTTGCACTATCTTTTTATTGGCCCATTTTATAGCTGCTGTTTGTGTAATATTTTATAAATGTCATGAATAGAGTATGTTTGTTGTGGGTTCTTTCAGACAAAATGATCATTTATGTAAAACATTGCTCTCATAGTAAGTTAAAATATTAGGTGAAAAAGGAGCCAGTTATCTCATATGAGAATACTTAATTCAGGGCCAGCCCTGTGGCTTAGCGGTTAGGTGCTCGTGCTGCACTGCTGGCGGCCCGGGTTCGGATCCTGGGCACGCGCCAACGTACTGCTTCTCCGGCCATGCTGAGGCCGCATCCCACGCACAGCAACTAGAAGGATGTGCATCTACGACATACAACTGTCTACTGGGGCTTTGGGGGAAAAAAATAAATAAATAAATAAATAAAAGAGAATACTTAATTCATGTCAGAGCGGATAGTTTTATCTTTGGGAACCGCTGTAACCAAGATTCCCTTCCATGCAATTTTATTTGGGATGATGGTTATGCACAGTTTCTGCTCGAGGAAGAGGTCATTTCTGTCATGGAGAATGGCAGGGATCCTTACAAGCTGCAGCAGGGAACCATAAAACTCTGTTGTGACTTCTTAAAAAAAGAGTATGACCTTTCGGATAAAATGATCTGACGAAAAATGATTTTACACCCTCATCCTTCACACACACACACACACACACACACAATATCACACAAATCCTGTCCTAGCTATTACAATTTCAAGGCTTTCATTTTAGGTTTTTTGGTATATTCTATTCCCCTAGAAGTTTCCACTGCTCATTGTGATGGATTGTTAACAGAAATTGGGGAACACCTCCAACCACATTCATCCACTTTCAATTGTGACACATCTCTGCACCGCATTCTCAAATATTTTTTCATTTGCACTTTATATGTGCGTTACTTATCGTCCAAGAAAATAGCACAAATTGTTCCCAGGGCTGATGCTAAGGAAGCTGATCAGCGAAACAGAAATTTCAAAGCTTTTTAATCACATCTAGAGCCTGCAAAACTTTGGGATTATTATTGAGTATGGTTTAACAAGTAAAGTTTAAATTACGGAGTGTAGTTTGAAACTTCTAAGACCAGATGCTCGTACTTTCTACTCTTACAAGATTCACAGGTTGTTCTGGCAAAATCTAAGTCTTGTTCTTCTGTATAAACATTTTTTTTATTATCATTTAGTAGGTTTTTATTTTTTTAGTTGGTAACATTTTAAAGTTGAGTTTATTGTTTATTAAGAATTATTTTGAGACTTTCAATTAGGTTCATAAAATAAAAACTATAAACATGAAACAAGATCTTTTATGTCAGAGTAACTCTTGCCTGTGGAATAGATGCCAATTTAAGACATGAGATTTATTTGTGGTATTCATCACTAAATGATTCCTAGTTGTAAAGTCCTGTACAATTTGGTTCAAGTTAACTCTTATTATTGACATTTTTTAACAGAATTAAAAAATGTTTCAGTATATGTTGCTGATAATTCACCTTTCCAAATTATAAATTCACAGTTATGTGCTCAAACTTTAAAAGAGTAAGGACTTGATATTCATGATGCAGTTCATTAATTATTTTAATAGAAAACATATTTTGGTGATGAAATATATTTTTACTTTATCAACTCACTCACAAATTTGCTTTAACCTCACATTGCTAAATCTCAACTAGTTTCTTTTAAACCCCAAATTTATGTGATTGGTACAGTGGTATAATTATATGCTTAGAAAATGCTTATGTGACATATGAAATTATCTTAATTAAAAATTTCACTCATAAGTAACATTTTCTGTATATATTATATTTATTTGGGCATCTCTGTTTTTGGCAATCTCTAATTGGGAAATATGAGTAAATTTTTTATCTGCTTCAGTTTATTTCAAATTTTCCCTTACATTTTAAGAATATCCTAAGAAATATTCCCAAGTGATAAAGAAAATTGTGAAAACAGAATTCTTCTATGAATATGTTTCCACATCTGAAATAAAACCACAGTATGTTTCTGTTTTGAAAATTATTTTGAATTGTGAGTGAAACATTTTGTTGTGTCTAACCTCTCTCACTGCTACAGATCAAATGTCAATTTCTAGTACTAGTGATTTATGATACAATTATTATGAAAATTAATTCCTAGTAATCTTTTTTCTCAGATAATCACATCATTATGTGTCAATGTTAAAAAAATATGGGAATGTCCCTTTATAATGTTGATTTGGAGGAGTAATATTCTTAAGGACAAAACAAAATTCTGTATTAATATTTTAAAAATACACACTTGGTTCAGAAACAGAACTTTAACTTCATAAGATATTTGGACAATTTTTTCTTCTTTCTTAGTTATGACTACACCAAATACATGGAAAATATAAAATGTTCACAGTAGTTCCTTTTGAATTATACATAATCTCAATTTAAACATATGAGATTTGGAATAAAATCAGTGTATTGCAAATGGTACTAGCTCAATATATACAATTTCTTTTTGATAACTAAGTAATTACATAAAGAATATTCTAGGGACTGGCCCTGTGGCGTAGCAGTTAAGTTTGCGCTCTCCACTTCGGCAGCCCGGAGTTCATGAGTTTGAATCCCGGGCATGGACTTATGCACTGCTTATCAAGCCATGCTGTGGTGGCATCCCATATAAAGTAGAGGAAGATGGGCACAGGTGTTAGCCCAGGGCCAGTCTTCCTCAGCAAAAAAGAGGAGGCTTGGCAACAGATGTTAGCTCAAGGCTAATCTTCCTCAAAAAAAAAAAAAAGAACAAAAAAGAATATTCTAAATTCTAAGCCAGTGGTCTTATGTCTTTCTTTCCTTTTAAAAAAAAGTATTGTACATCTCATTGTTTCTTTCTTTGCTTTAGATCGGGGTACTGTGCAGAAGGTGGTTGTTCTTCCTAGGAACAGCTCTGCCAGTGGTGAGCTCATTCTGGAGGAGCTGGAAGTCTTTAAGGTTTGAACTTCTATTAGTCTCAGAACATGCATGATGAATGGATTCTTTAATCTTACAGCCACTTGGGAGAAACAAATACTTGATAAAAGATCAAATAAATGAATGTAATAAATTTTTGAGGCTAGGAAGCATCAGATAAAATGAGAAATATAGAACAAATATTTTTCTCAAGTATTTTTTTACGTTTCAAGTTATCTTAACATAAAAGGATTAGTTTTTTCAGCTATCATCACAACTTGAAGAATTTTGGTCATCATTATTTTTAAAAAATGAGTTCTTGTGGTCAAGGTCTAGAAGATTTGCCATGAAAGGGCTTTTATCATTTGCTTCACAAGCACTGAAACCCAAATGCTTTCACATTATTGATTGTTACATAAACTTTCTCACATTTTTTTAGCCAGGAATTTCAAAGAAAACAGTTTTGTTTCCTCTGTTTTATTGCTTTCAATTCAAATGTCACTCTAGTTAAGTAAAACAAATGTTGTCTCTTTACCACTCGAAACTTCATGTTCTATCTGAACTTGAGATTTCATTGTATTATTCTCTGTCCTTGAATTTGGGATTTAAAAAAAAGTAAAAACAGGGCCGGCCCCGTGGCTTAGCAGTTAAGTGCGTGCTCTCCGATGCTGGCGGCCTGGGTTCGGATCCCGGGCGCGCACCGACGCACCACTTCTCCGGCCATGCTGAGGCCGCATCCCACATACAGCAACTAGAAGAATGTACAGCTATGACATACAACTATCTACTGGAGCTTTGGGGGGAAAATAAATAAATAAATCTTTAAAAAAAAAAAAAAAAGTAAAAACAAAACGCAACAAAAAAAGCACACAGAGGGAAGTTCAGTCCTGTAAGATCTCCCCTCCTTGGGGCAGAGTGTCTGTTCTTTATGGATGTTTGAGCCTGGAGAGCAGATTTGTGGTTCCTGCACACCTTTCCCTCCTTGAGGTGTGGTCACTGCAGTTCAGGTGGTCTCTCTTCTCTGCATTTGAAGGATGGGGAAAGCACAGCCAGAGAAACTATTAGGGTTGCAAAGAAACTTCGGCATATAATCAATCCTACTGTAGACTCCTATTTTCAGCTAAACTAATTAAGAAACGATGGCCCACAGACACCGCAAGACCAGGGTCAGCCTATAACTGAGTAAAACTAGCACTCCAGAACCCCAGGGAAAGACTATTGCTAGTTCAGTAAGTTGTTTTGCTTAGTTGGGTGGACTCAGAGTGTATTAACTTATTACTATACATTCCCAGAGTCAACAAAAATATTGAATATATAAGCATATAAGTGATGAAGATGAAATGCTATTAGATTATGCTAATAAATTTTAAATGTGAAGAAATATAAAAAAAGAGTTAAATCAAATACGAAATCTGAGGAGCTCTGGCAAATGTCCTAATATGTTATTAACTTTACAATTTTTAATGCTAGACTCACTTTACATAAGATTCTTTGTGATTAGTGCACTAAAATTGTGCTCAAAAATGTTAACTGTGTGCATTGAAGTGCCTTTTATATGCCTTGCTTTGTAAAGAAATTGATTGTTTCACTAGATTAACCCAAATTGCATTATATAGAAAATATTTTTTTCTCATTCAATTCAGTAGGGACAACTTGGATGGCCAAAATAATATAATATTTTTGGCCAGCCAAAATAGTTCTGGAGTTTTCTTGAAGGTAACTAAAATGCCATATTGCAGCACTTCATTTATAATTCTGAAATATCTTTTTTTGATAATCAGGAAATGTTAATTAAGTGAGTTTGACACAAACCCAAACATATATGTTATGGAAAGGTCTTAAAGAAATGTGAAATTACGATCATGTGTTGACTACTTATGGTCTGTTATATGAGTTATGGGGGTGTTATCATCATGAAGAATAAACTCTCAGTGGAAAAATAGAGTCAGTCAAAATGTATGTGGGGGACATCAGCTTAAGAGAGACCAAAAAAGTTTGAGCTTTCTTAGGGATGCGTGTACCAGTGATTGATACGGCTAAATCGAGAGACAGTTACCAAATACAGTTACTGTCTTCAACATGGTGTTTGTGTCACATTTTCTGAAGTGAGGTAAAAATAATTGGGTGTGTATGATGTACTGCGATGGGCACATGAGGAAATAATGTATTTAAATTGAAAAGATTCCTTAGCTAAGTGTCACACTGATGTACTGCAGAAAACTCAATGTAACTTTTGAAAACCAGGCTCTTTGTTTTCATAAAGTCCAGAACTGTAATCTCTTCTTTTAATCCCCTGTTCAGAATATTTTCTGAAAATGTGTCCAGCTTCCCTGAACTTAGCTTGAATTGGAAGTACAACTATTAGTAGTTGCCTAGGTGGATGTAAGTTGCAATACCTTTTTGTATGTGTATGTATTTCTAAGCAGTGGTCAAAGCTCGTCGCAGTTGTTAGAGATATCACCGTTTTCTCTTTTAAATTTTCTAAGAACACACAACTCTAGAAAGTGAAATAATTGTGGCTATGGTTGGTTTTGAGAGCTTGCTCCCACTTGAGTTGTGTAAATAAAACTTAACAGATCTTCATCAGGTTATCACAAATCTAACTTTTAATCTTTAATAGGAACTAATAATATTTAAGAATTAAAGTCATGAATAGAGTGACTTTCAAAAAGGATTACTATTTCAGAAAATTGTTAAGTTCTTTCACTAATTCACATTTATCAAAAGAGGATCTTTTCTAACAATATTTCTTCCTTTGCAACAAAGAGAATTAATAAGCGTGGTTTAGGCTAATTTGTCTTTCCAAAGCCACGTTTGGCAGGTGAACAATAGTGTGTTATGCAGAGCGCTTGTGTTGTGGAGAAGTAAGATGGGGTACCATTCCACAGACCCCACCATTCCTCAGACTCAATCCTGAATCATTCATTGGATTCAATATTCCAAGATATACTTTTTTCAATCCTCTCAAATTTTCATTTTTTTCTAATGACTATATTATAGATGTGTTATCATTGATACTTTTTTTAGTTTAGGTGTATATTTGTGTAACAAATCCATCCTTACTCCCAACAGCAGAAATAATGTACTTTACAGACAAGTATTGCTAAACTTTGAAAGTATATTTGCATATAGAGAGGAATGATGATATCTTGAATTTTAACAGAAAGGAGAAAAATGTTTGAAGCAAAATCCATATGAAGGATTATTTGAGCAACTGACATAATGTTTTTCTAATTTTTCAGAATCGTGCTCCCATAACAACAATGAAAATTTCATCCAAAAAGGTAAAAATGACCCCGTTTTTATTTTCTTTGCATGTAAAAAGTTTTACTGTTATGAAAAATATATTTTATAATTTCTGAAAAATTAACTTTGACATTAGCAAAATAATTAATGCTGTTTAAAGTATACCACAAAATCACCTGTAATTTTGATGTAGAATTTACTAGCTATCAGTGGAAGACAAAATAGATTTATTTTTGTATAAAAGTCCGTCAGAGCAGACCATATATACAGCAAGATATTCCAACATTCTGTATATTCCATAGTCTCAAATATTGCAGTGCATGAAGCCAATCAAAATAAAAATAATCTTTCTGAAGGAAGAGTTTAGCATAAAGTTTGGGCTACTATAACATCACAGACATTCTTGGGGGCTTGGAATGAGTAATCAATCCTCTTTTGAGTTCCCGCTGCTGTCACATGTTTGAAATGTGCAATGCATTCTTTTATGCTTGTTTCTAAGAAAGTGCTATTTTTTAGGGTTTATATATGTCATTAAAAAATATGCATGTCTCAAATCTAAGCCATGTCAGCATTCAGGATTTGGGGAAGAAATGTTTTGACTATGGTTATCAGAAATACTTAATCTTCTAATTCGTGCCTGCACATGCAATACAGATCTTTGTCGACTTATGATAGGGTTATATCCCAATAAACCCATCCTAAGTTGAAAATATCGTAAATTGAAAGTGCATTTGATACATCTAACCTACCAAACACTTAGCCTAGCCTACCTTAAATGTGCTCAGAATACTTACATTAGCCTGCAGTTGGGCAAATCATCTAACACAATGCCTATTTTATAATAAAGTGTTGAATATCTCCTGTAATTTATTGGATACTGTACTGGAAGTGAAACAGAATGGTTGTGTGGGTATAGAATGTTTATAAGTGTATCAGTTTTTTACTCTCATGATCACGTGGCTGACTGGGAGCTGCCACTGCCCAGCATCATGGGGGCGTATTATACCGATAGTTTGGGAAAAGACCAACATTCAAAATTCAAAGTACAGTTTCTACTGAATGCATATCGCTTTCACACAATTGTAAGGTCGAAAAATTGTTAAGTCGAACCATCGTAAGTTGGGGACCATCTGTACACAATGATCAGGGAAAGGAAAAGCCCAGTTCCAATTTCTACATGTGCAAAACACACATCTCTCCAGACCCCAAAGGTGTCATCTCTGAAACAAAGTTCTAAGGGGCAGTGTAGTATAGTCCAAAATGGAGTAGGCTTCCGAATGGGCCTGACATGCTTTGAATCCCAACCTGACCATAAAATATGAACAAGTCATTTAACTTCCCTGACCTAAGTTTCTGCCTTTGCAAGGTAATGCTTTGCTCACAAACGATTTAATTTATATCAATTGTCTAAAATAAAGTGGGCCTTTGGTAACTGCTGTTTGTAAGAGCCTAAGACTTATTTTTCTTGGAATATGGAATAAAAATTTTATGTGTTAGCACAACTGATGACATAACTTTAGTGTTCTTTACCATATTTGGTCTGTTACAGTTGAAGAAGTATTCCACAGTCAGCCTTGTACTCTTTTCACTTGACTAAATTTTACGAAGAAAAATAAATAGGATACAACAGAGCTCAAGATCTCATCTGTAAAAATGTTTGTATGGTGCATAACAAACACTTTCCCAAGTAACAAGAAGCCATTTGTCATTTTCCCCAATGTCCTAGGGAGCTGATCCCAAGTCAGAATTGTCTTTGAAGTCGGCAGGGAAGCCCTTTGTTGATGATAGTTTAATGGAAAAAGAAAGTATCAGAGCAAAATTAAAAATGGACACAAAACCATTTGCGGGGCATAGTAGTCCAGTATACAGTTACAAGTTTCACCTTGTAATTCAACTTGTGAACTTGTAGTTCACAATTCATTCCGTAAAACTTCAGTGTATAACACACACATACACACGGGGAAAACTGAGTATTAGTCTGTCTTTAGCATTTTATATTATAGATAATTAAAAATGTTTCATTAAACCAATTAGATTCAGGGAAGGGTAATTATTTGATTTTTTGGAAATTCATTTGCACAACTGCATACTGCATTATTGTTTCAGTGTGAAAGAACCACAAATTGCCAATGGTATTTTATAGATATTGAAATACAGTGAATTTAGTAGCTTCCCTAGTGCTCAAACTATTTTATTGTTCATGTTCCTTTATTCTCTAATTTATTATTGCATTCCATAATGCAGAAAATAGTTAGATTAATAAAAAAGATAATTTCCAGAATGAAACTACCTGTATCCTTTCCTCAAATAAACGTAAATTAAAATGTTTTCTCAAAATATTTTCATGAAACTGATGCATTCACTATATTATTTATTAATGTACTCAATAAACACATTTCAAATGTTCCTAGAGAAATCATCATCATCAAAATGTGCAGTTGTTTTCATATAGTTTGTGTCAACTAAGGATTAATCATTTTCAGCCCAATTTCTGAAAAATTAACTGATCTGAATAAAGTAAATATTTTACATTAGACATAATCGAGTGAGATGTGATTCAAATAATTAGAATTGAAAATTTATAAATTGATAATTTGTTAATTGATAATTTACTACTTCTATTATTTAACATTCATTGAGCAGTTATGAGCCAGACACTATTCTAAGCATTTAATGTGGAGTTTGCCCTTACATTTACTTCTTACAAACACTCTATAGGGTAGGTTCTATATTAGCCCAATTTTACCAAAGAGGAAGCTGAGATTGAAAAAAGTTACACAGCAAATTTGTGGTTGAGCTGAGATTACAATCCCAGAAGTCTGTTTCCAGAGCCTGGTGGACCAATGGTGCCCCCACTGATTTAATTTTTAAATTGTCTATGTACATGTATGTATATAAATATATGAATATGAATAGATGTGTGTATACACAGGCACGCATGTGCATGTATTCAGGTTCCAGCTTAGAGATTCTATGCTAACTTGAATTATATAATATCAGTCCTTTGTAAAATAAAGAGTCTCAGTTCAAAACTTATCCCTTCTACTCCTGAGAACTGTTTTATGAACAACTAAAGGAATTAGAGCCACATCATAAGAAGCTCTTGACACCCTACAAATGAAGGAGGATGAAATCTTTATGACTTAGTTTAGGGTGATTGCTGGATCATACAGGAATTTTAAGACATGTCTAAATATAACTACTGATATTCTAAGTAATTTAAAAATTGCTATAATGAATAATATGTCACTTTCAAAGGCATGTGAAAAAAATCTTTGTTAAATTTTATCTAATACTTACTATCTCCTTTTTTTTTCTGATCTTAAAAGTGCCCTTATTTTAGACTTGACTTTTTCAAATTTACAAGGTGATGGGTTGCCAGACTTGAAGAATAATAAAGCTGCCTTGTGCTTTGCTAAGAGACAGCATTCAAAGAAAAAGGAAAACATTATAATTTAAGTCTGTAATATATTAGCTCAAATCTGAGAGAACAATGAATCCCAATGTCTAAAACACATTACCATTCTACATGGTGCTCTGAGCTTTTTTTTTAAACAGGAAAGTGGTAATGTTATAGGCATATTAACGTAAAAAAATTCTATTTATTTTGGCTTTATACCCTTCTGTACTTTGCTTCTCGTTTTTAGTCTATTTCAAAATGAATCCAAGGGTTTATGGGCATATGTTATAATGTGTTCCTGCTGAAAGTCTTCTTTTAACTTCCACATCTGAAATAAATCATCGTCATTCCTCTAATAGCAACAGTTGTATGTGAGCTCCAACGAAGGGGTTTCCCAAGTGTCCCTGCATCGCTGCCACATCTACGGTACAGCCTGTGCTGACTGCTGCCTGGCAAGGGACCCTTACTGTGCCTGGGACGGCCATTCTTGCTCTAGGTTCTACCCAACCGGGAAGCGGTGAGTATTAAACATTAAGCTGCAGATCGAAATCGATGTCACCAGACAATGGAGCGGGGCTTCACAGTGTTAGAATCAGTTCTATTGTGGTATTCTTTAAAAGTGGCTGTGTTTAGCACCACAAATAGTCTTTGAATGAAAACAACGGCCATGCTTTATGACTTGAGATTCTCACAGATATGTTAGAGTACTATATTTTGGAAAAGTTCCTTTCTCCCTTTAAAGCTCCTGTGCAACACAATCCCCCACTCATGACCCAACAAATATCAAGTAGCTCTTAACTTTGTTTCACATTACCTAATTTTTATCTTTTTTCTTTTGTATGATTTGGTATATCCTTAAATCTTACCTTCCTAGGATTTCCCTACACTGCTTAATTCTCCTGTAATCAAATGCTTGTCCTAGTTCAGGCAACAGGAGCATTGCCCCAGGATGGGTACCCTGAATTGCTTTCAAACCTTGATGCCCATGCTTTACCTTTTAGAATGGTGAGCACATGATTGCTGGTTAGATTAAGAGAGAAGGCAGTCTGGGGCTGAGTGCCTTTTATCCAACAAAAACCTTGGCAGGAAACTGAACCAACTTGCACCAAGTTAGAAGGAACCACCAGTAGTGAAATTGGTTGTAGAACAAAGAATATGCAGAATTAAGTGTCAGCCAAGGTCACAGCTATTTTCAGTCATACCATGATATGGGTCATGATGGTGACAGGTCCAAAACCTATAAAAATTAGGGTCAGCAGGAGGGAACAAATAGGACCAGCCATGAGCACCAGTGATCCTTCAAGTAAGACCATTGGGGTGATGGTGTTTTATGGCTCTTTTATTCTGTGTTGTAGATATGGGCCTTTAAAAACCTTGATAGATTAAAACAACCCTAGAACTTCTGTCTGTCAAGATTATTCTGATCCTTTTATCTATTAGTTCAACAAATACATGCCGTGGGACAATTATTTGCCAGGCAATGTTCTAGAAGCTAGGCATATAACATAAAAAACAGCAACAACAAAAAGACAAAAATCCATGTTGTAAGGGATATTAAATTCTAGCGGGGGAAGACAGACAATAAACAAATAAATAAAGAAACCCTCTAGTAGATCAAATAATGGTAAAGTCTATGAATTTTAAAAGAGCAAAGAAGGGAGAGAGGGCATGTGGGAAGCAGGGGGTTGTAATGTTAAATGAGTGGTGAGGGAAGGCCTTACTAAGGATGTGATATTTGGACAAGGACTTGAATGTGATGAGGAATGGCACCAAGGCATTATTTGAGAGAATAGCATTCCAGAGAGAGGGACCAGAAATCCTAAACGGTGAAGTGTGCCAGGATTGCCCAAGAAACACCACCAAAGCTAGTGGAGCTGTACTGGAAAGAGAAAAGGAGCGATAGCAAGAAACGAGGTCAGAATACCAGATGACATAGGACTTTGTAAGTCATTGAAGGGCTTTTATTTAGAGTGAAATGGAAAACTACTGAGGGTTTTTGAGCCCATGAGTGGTATTATTTGACTTTGGATTTAAAAAGATCACTCTAGTTGAGTTTGGCTGGCATTGTAGCCCGGGGCTAGGACGAGGATAGGGGAAGGAGAGGCAGGAGCTGCAAGGCAGTTAGAAGGCTACTGGGATGATGATCCGGGTGAGATGCAATGGTGGCTTGCACAGGGATGGTAGAGGTGGAGGTGGTGAAAAGTCGTCTGATTCTGGACAGAGTTCACAGAATCTGCTGAGGTATTAGATGTGGGGTGTTAGAAAAATAGAGATCTCAAAAATGAACCAAGTTCTTAGAACTGAGCATTAGGAAATATGTAGATGTCAGTTCCTGAGAAAGGGAAGACTGCAGAAGGAGCCGGTTTGTGGGGAGAAAGATGATGTTAAGTTAATGATGCCTATGAGATATTCAAGTGGAGATGTTGAGTAAGCAGTTAGAAATATGAATCTGGAGAGAGCAGTGGACTGGGCTGGATAATTTGAGTCTTCTGTATTTAAGAGCATGAGATATGAAGAGAACTCCCACATTTTAAACCTGGAGTCTTTAGTATTTGTGTTCAAAGACCCCATGTTCCTCCACGTCATTTAAAAATTTAGTCAGGAGGTCTATGGCCCCCTTTGATTTCTACGTAGAATTTCTGGACCTCATTACTCTAAGATCTTCTGTCTTTGCCTGGGGCTGGAGGTCTGAACCCAGACACAATTGTGAGGGAAGCACATGTAATCTCAAATTTAAAAAAATGATTTTTATGGCCACTGTTGGTATTTTCTACCAGATTTGTTTTGCACTCTCAATTATTATACCAGTGATATTTAGAAATTATTGCCATAACTTTTTGTAAGGCAATGCTTTTCTCTTAGTAAGCAGCTCTAAAAATTGGCATTGCTAACACCTGGACTACAATCTTCACTCTATTGAACAGATTTAGTGCTGAAGGAAGCTGAAGTGACCACAGAGTGAATCTCACCACGGTCCTATAGGCATCCCAGCCTCTTCTATAACATGAGGAATTGGAAGTCAGTACTTCTTCCCTACAGAACTTTCAGACCTTGGCTTTGGCCAACAAGCATTTTTATTTAACAAAGATTATTTCTCAAGCAAAATTCCATATTATACATAGACTATCATGGCATATTTGAGATTTTTTTTTACATTTTAGAAGTGTCTGCTGAAATATGAGTTACTCATTTATTCTCATAGTCTCCCACCTATTACAACCCTCGTTATCCTTTCTAAGATGTGTACTTAAATTAGATTCCACATGGTCATCCTGATGCCACCAGTCATGATCTTAATCGTGTCCTTGTAACCAACAAAGAACTGAAACTACCCTGCAGTTCTTTAATGTTACAATATCGTGCCTGGTATTAAACCATGTGTCATAGGTTGAGAAAGAAAATAGTAGCCATGCAAAGAGCTACCTTGATGATCTCCAGCAGTGTCTTAATTCTAACACAAAGAGCCAAAAAATGCAATATGTCCATAAGGTATGCCTTGGCCTCCCCATACTCATCTTTGATTAGCATACTGGAATTTTCATTCAAAATATCTATACTATTTAAATTCTCCAAATTATTTCCAAACTAGGTTAAGCATGTCCTTTTAGTGAATAGAAAACATGTTTGCTGAATGAATGAACTATTTTCTAAATTACCATAAGTAGTATTTATTTTCTTTAGAGATTAAATAGTGATGATGAAAATGATCATTTGGAGTATTTTCCACGTTCATTTTCTTTAATAGCGTTAATTTACCTGGTTTTATTCCAATCGCACTGTCTATTTAGCTGGAAAACCAAGATCACTTAGAGGAATTCATAGGAATGAAAAACAGAAACATGTCCTTTGTAATAGAAACATGGAAGTACAGTTATACCCAGAAATCAATGGAGTCCATACTTTGACATAATAAAGTTGTTAAATATCATTGGCTCAATAGTTTCTCTTTTTTTAAAGAAATTTGTTCATAGTAAACAATATAAGCATTTTTTTCCTCTTCACCCTCAAGTATCTTAAATATTTGTGCATTTGTATCAAATATTGCAATTTAGTCTCCAATGTTATTTATTCTAGATTCAGACATGTAGTTAGAAGCTTTATTTTAAGACAAGATAATCAGTTAAATCTTCAAGTAAATATCTGTTTTCTATACAAGAAGAAAATGATTTCATTGTTTATCCAAAGGAATAGACTATAATGGAGGAAACATTGGCAAAGTGAGCCAAATCCCAAATCCTACATGCAATATGATATGACTTTGCCTCCCAGCACACTTTTGCAATGCTGTATGAATGTCTTAAAGGGAATCTACACATACAAAAGGCTCAGATGGCTGCCTTGCTGATCTCATCATTCAAGCCAAGCCATAATAATGTTTTTCTGTATTTGAATGTCTGGAAGCTATGTGATACTGTAAATTCAGATTGCCCAGCCTGAGGGTTCGTGTACATGAGTAAACCATAACATAGTGCTGATCACAGGACAATAAATTTAACCATTGTGAGTGATACTGCTTGTCTAGATGGCTGAAAATGACCAGTTCAGCCATAGAAACTCTCATGTGGTGCTCATATAATATACACTCACAAGCTGGCTGGTAGTAAATGACGCTGTGACTTCACAATATAGCAAGTGCAGCACAGTAAAAACCTGGTGTGGGAGCTGCTCTAGAGTACAGTGTTTATCGTATTTCCTGAGACAAGCGTGACTTCCACTAGTTTGTGTGTGCTTGTGTGGTTGTATAGAAATATATAATTGAATAAGGATCTTGTGACTTTTTTGGAAAAAAATATTTAAATGACACAAAATTTTATGCCTATATTTCCATAAATAGATGTATATGATCCATTGAATACATAAATTATTAATTATTTGCTATAACCTTAAAACGAATTATTTTCATTATTAATGACTTTGAGATTAGTTTTGCTTTGTAAGTTTGAAAATCCCTGTGTGATTCTAATATTTCTGTTCTTCCTACTGAATATTTTAATGTATCTGTAAGGTTAAAAATATTAAGAAACTTAACAACTAACCCAGTTAAGTGATATGCTCATTCATATACACTTTTCAGCATTGATAGTAAACAATCAATTTACCCCGGTACTCCCAATATTTAAAACGAATTCCTTTCCTTCTTTCTTTTAGCAACGTTCATGTCCACAATTCATTGCTAAGAGAATTTTGCTTGCTCTATTTTGATTTATTTCACTATGTAACACAATTGAAACTAATATGTATAGTTAATCTAAGACTCAGGAAATTAAATAATTAGTATTGAAATAACAAAACATTTTTTTAATAATAACCAGCTTATAAAGAATGTAACTAAATTTTTGAAATGTTTAAGCCAGTGATACATAATGACTAAATGCCATGAATGAACTTTGATGGGATCCTGAGTAAACTTTATTTTTTTGTGTGTGAGGAAGATTAGCCCTGAGCTAACATCTGTTGCCAATCCTCCTCTGTTTGCCGAGGAAGATTGGCCCTGGGCTAACATCCGTGCCCGTCTTCCTCTACTTTATATGGGACACCGCCACTGCATGGCTTGATAAGTGGTGCAGAAGTCTGCGCCCGGGATCTGAGCCCACAAAGCACGGGCTGCCAAAGCTGAGCACGCAAACTTAACTGCTACGCCACGTGGCTGGCCCCCGGAGTAAACTTTTAAAAATCCATAAGAGAATTTTTGGGAAAGTTAGGGAAATTTTAATATAAAATCTGTGTTCTATGATATTATTGAATAAATATTAATATCTCTAGTATAATAATGATATTGTATGTAGGAAAATTACTTATTCTCAGAAGATACATGCTACAGTATTTAAGAGTGAAGCATTATCATGTCTGCAATTTATTTTCTAAAGATTTTCATATATGTGCATACACAGTATACACATGATGACATACTTCCATATGAAAGAAAAAATAAATATGTCAAAATATAACAATTTATGAATCTAAGTATACCAGTGTTCATTGTACTAATAGATCCACTTTCTGTAGACTTGACATTTTTCAAAATAAAAATTTGAAGGAAAATGCTTATTCTAGTAAATGAACAATTTTGTTTAACTTTATCTTAAATGTCCACGTTCTATCTCTGTATCACTTGTTTCAGAAAAGTTTTAACATATCTGGACAGTGTTAGAAAGTGTTGACTTTTGTAAGAAAATTATGTTTATTCATGAAAAAAATTTATAAGAAGGAAGATGCTAGTGAGTTTATGCTTTGGAGGTTATCATCTTAGAAAATTGTGGATGAATGTCTCTAAACTAAAAATTTACACTATTAATTTGGAATCTAGCATTTACCCAGGAAATGCACATAATAGGGGTTTCATAGCCATTCTATCACAAGTGGTAGTTGGGGAGAGACTGAATTAATTCAGATTGAAACAAGGTTAAGTACACACCCTATCACTGAAGCATTGAATAAGAAATGTCAGATAGCTATGTCAGATAATCAGACCTCTTTTCTTTATGAAAAGGCAATCAACAAATTGTAAAATTAAAAATGCAGTCTTTTAAATGTGGTGTAATTTGGGATGTTAATTCTAAGTCACTTTTACGTATTTCTTTACTTATAGGAGGAGCCGAAGACAAGATGTGAGACATGGAAATCCGTTGACTCAATGCAGAGGATTTAATCTAAAAGGTTAGTGAGCAAAGGTCAAACTTAGTAAAGAGTAACAATACTCCATATCTCGTTTCAGTAAGGGAAACCTCGTAATAAATTTAAATCTTTCATTTTAAAGAAAGAGCCACTATAAAAATTATTGGTATTCATATATGGAAATTCAAAACTAAATATTATTTGTATGTATACTAAGAAAAACAAATGTCTGGGAACACAGATGCCTTGGGTATGTTTGTTGGTAGGTCTTTCACGTAGATAGATGGTAATTACAGATTTTCTTAGCTGTTATTTTCTTTCCGAAGAAAAAAAATTTTGCCTTTTTAAAAATTTACCACTGAAGAACAAATAGAATAGTGCTTTGTTTGTCTTTTATTGTGGTAAATATATATAACATAAAATTTACCATTTTAAAATGAACAGTTCTGTGGTATTAAGTACATTCACATTGTTGTGCAAACAGTACCAACGTGCATCTCCAGAACTTTTTTATCTTCCTAAAATGAAGGGAGGTACCCATTAAACAGTAACTCCCTATTCGCCCTTCTCTAGCCTCTGGCAACTACTGTTCTACTTTCTGCCTCGGTGAATTTGACTACTCTAGATATCTCATATAAGTGCACTCATACAATGTTTGTTCTTTTGAAACCGGCTTATTTCATTTACCATAATGTCTTCTTCAGGGTTCATTCATGTTGTAACACGTGTCAAAACTTCTTTTCTGTTGAAGGTGGAAAAATATTCCATTGAATGTCTATATCACATTTTGTTTATCCATTCATTCATCACTGGACACTAGGTTGCTTCCACCTTTTGGCTATTGTGAATGATCCTGCTCTGAACATGAGTGTACTACAGGACCTTGGTTTTACAATTCATAACCATTCCATATACTTTTGACAGTCCTGCCTTGTGTCTTACAATTAACCTAATCCATTTCTTCCCATCCTGACATGGAGATATCATGTTATCACACTTTCCCACTAATCTCCTCCCCCAATCTCAACCCCACCCCACAGACGTCTCTCCAGTCTCACCTTCCTCCTGGCTCACCAAGGTGCTACAGATGTAGTGTTGTTAGCAATTAACACTGAGACTCCGATTGCTAATCTTTTTGAGTCTGGGCTTTTCTTTGGTAAAGAATGACATTCTGTCACTAAGTATGCTACCTACAAGGAGAAAATTCAGACACATTTTGCTTAATTGTTCCATACATCTAATTAAGGGAATAAATCCGGGTTACCATTTCTCTGTTTACTGAGTATTTTATAAATCTGTGTGTCAATTCCCATTATTAGTAGTAGTAGTCCTAGCGGTAAGAGTGTTGACAGTGGAGATAATGATGAAGCAGAATCCAGGTTGATTTTGTGTCAGAACCCGAGCGGAGTGCTTTTTCATGAATTATCTCACTTAACACTCATGAAACTACGACAGTAGAGTCTATCACTGTTCCTACTTTATGAGTGAGGATTCTGTCCATGTCTAAGCTGCTACATGATTATACTAAATGCTCTTCTTAATTTAAGAATTTCAGTCAAGAACCTGTATGAAAATATTATAATCCATGTTTTAGAGCCGAGTAAAACTGAGACACAGAGAGATTAAGTAACTTGTCTAAAGCTACACAGCCAGTATTGGTGAAGTCAGGATTTTACCCCAGGTACCTCTGATTCCAGAGACTGTATTCTCAGCCACTGCTACCCACTGCAGCCACACCTTGCTTTCTGCCTTTACCTGATGCTTCTGAATTTCATCTTTACCATGTTGAGTAGGGAGTTAGGGGTGGGATGAACCTGGCTTCAATATTGCCTGCCACTTACTAACCCTTGAACTAGGATATATTTCCTTATAACTCACAGCCTCAGTTTGCTCAACTATGAAAAGCTGAGACAACCTAATTCACAAGGACATTGTAATAATTAAATTATTAATTTATACTTAAAAAATACTTAAAAAATTAAGTGCAATCCCTGGTGTAGAGCAATTCTTGAATAAATACTGATTCCTTTATGTCTTTCTCTCCGCTTCAGATTAAACACAACAGGTGAACAATATGTAATAGTCCGTTAAATAATTAAGACTACCTTCTGAGAGTCGCCATAGTTGATCTCAATTTTATAGGGAAATAAACATTCCTATAGGAGAACATGCTCTAAATTCCATTGTTTCTCTCTCTCCTTTTATTTTTGCTTTTCAGCATATAGAAATGCAGCTGAAATTGTTCAGTATGGAGTAAAAAATAACACCACTTTCCTTGAGTGTGTCCCCAAGTCTCCGCAGGCATCTATCAAGTGGTTGTTACAGAAAGACAAAGACAGGAGGAAAGAGGTGAGTAACTGAGCACAGCAGCAATCAATGAGGGCTTCGGAAAGGGCATTAAATCACTGTCCCTCAGTGAGGCTCAGATCAAACGAAAAAGGAAAGGCATATGAGCATCCTTTTATGTCTTTGGGATGACAAGTGCCACCTTCTTTAAATCCTTTGTCCACAGAGCTGATGGATTAATTAGAAATCCTCTCTGCCTGCTCACCTCTGGAACACGGTGATTGAAACAAGAGCTTGGGCGCTCAGACAGGGTATTGACAGCAGCAAGCACTTGTAAAAGAAACAAGATGTGTGCAGATCCAGAAGCCAAGTTCTCACACAACAGCACCTTTGTGTGATTCACAAGATAAAAGGGGCTTTAAAACAAGTTCCATTTTCTTCAGCAAGGAATTATGCTACACTATAACCTTTATGGTAAAGAGCATTTTTCTGCTGTGTGGTAATCTGTTTCCACTGCTTTATTATTCATAACTCTTGGGTTTTGGTTAGGTAATATATGGAATCATTGTTTATGGGACCATTGCCTTTTTTTAATGATATGGAAAAAATACTAGATTTTCAAATAAAAGGACACTTACATTAACCTTTCACTGATTGGAAAGAGCTGTTTTAAAAGGGAAACATTGTAAAACAGCATAGGGTGAAATATTATAAACAATGAATTCCATAATATTGATGTCATGCTATCCTGATAAATGAGAAGAAGAAGAAGAAAAATGTATATGTATATATAAAGCCTTAGAGTAGTCTAAGATGTGATGCTGTTAGCAGTACATCATGAAGCCTGATGGAGCAAAGGGGAAAATGGAGCCTTTTGCATTTGTGTGCAAGAATGGGCAGTTTTGGTACCACATCTTAAGTTAATTAGGGCTATGTAGAGTGGACACAATCCCAGGCTATAGAACACAGACACTGAGTCAGAGTTACTGAACAGAATATTGGCTCCATATGAGAAAATACTTTCCAACTCTGAGACCTGCCCACCCAAAGATGCTATGAGCTGTTTAGGAAATTGTGTCCCCTGTCAGTGGATATTAAACCGTGGGCTGATGACCACTTGCATAAGAAGAGGTTTAACTGTCTGGAGGAAAGGTGAGCTAGATGAACTTTAGGGCCCCTTCTTGCCCCAGAATTCTATGATACAAAAAAAAATATTTTTAAAATTTTTTATTAATAAAAAATTACTGTTTATTTGAGATATATTTTCTTTGCTACAAAATCTGTTATCAAATTTCTACACTCTAATTAATTTTAAATTCTTTTGAATGGATGTGGATTATAATAATAATTGTCTTGAAAAGTAACCTGGGATAGAAATAATGCATGGTGATGATTATCATACTGAAATGGAATTCTTAGGCTGGAGCATGACACATGGTCGTGAACCATCCTTCCTGAGAAAGTCTGTATGTATATATGTGAACTGGAAATGTAAAACTCAAACAGGGATTATCTAACATGAAGAAAATGTTTTTCTTTTATTCAGTAGAAAGTTCAATAGAATAATATGCAATAAGTGAATATAATTTATATTATTTAAAATTAAATTAATATGTACAGGCTTGAATACATGCCACAGAAATTAAGAAATGAAATTAAACATGGAATGTGTTATAAATTTAATGTCTTTTGTGATTATTCTAATTTCTATTTCAGAATGCTCAAGAATGTGGAGACTCAAATATTACTATCTTGGTTTTTCTTCCAATCTCAAAAACATAAGACTTCTATAATTTAAGATTATGAAAAAATTAACTCTAATATAATTATGAAAATCTATTCTGTCCAGAATTTAAGAAGAGCACAATTTCACTCATTCTTAGTTTAGTTGAATAAACTATCAATATTTTGTTAAATTTATACTAATTCTTCCTTAGTAGTTTAGGCAAACATACACTTATTTCTCATAGTAATGATACCTAAATATTGAACTTTTTTTTAAAAAAAGTAAGACAAATGGTAAAAGCTAGTGGAGAAAAATGCAAATTATTGATACTGAATAGCATAAGGTAAAGACTAAAAGCCCTCACTGCCTCCACTTCAATACTTATTCCCACCTCCCAGAGTATAAAGCTACCAAGAATTGTATATTCAGTCATTGTATATTCCTCCAAATAGTCTCCATAATTTTCCTATTTCTCCCTCTCTCTCTAACACATGCGCGCGCACACACACACACACACACACACATTTGAATATCAGTACACATGGAGCTACTTCATTTTTATTGGCTGCATAGTATTCCATTGTATGAATGTACCTTAAATTTTTAAAACTGTTTAGGTTATATCTTGTTTTTCTTCCTATTGAAAACATCATGTAAATGAATATTTGCATACTTGTGAGAATATATCTTCTATACAAATTCCTGGACATGAAATTTTTGCACCACATATTATATACATGTTATGTGGATATTATCAAATTGGCCTCCAAATTTTGCACAAATAGGTAAAAGTTTTCTTTTCTTTCATTTTTGAATGTCTTTCTACATTAAACTATTTCTGAGGCACATTTAAACTATTTAAATGGAGCACATTTAAATTTAATTTAAAAATTAAATTAACATCAAAACTTTATATATTTCAGTCCTTACCTCCTTCTCATCTCTCCTTTTTAGTTCTATTCTATTTGTATTTCAATACTACACGTTGCCTCTTTGTACTTTTGCATGTGGGTTACTTTTTATTTGAAACAACCTATCTTTGATTTGGATTTCATTAACAATAAAATATGTAATTGCACAGAAATTTACCATTTAGAAAAACATTTCACTTGCGTTCCTTTATTTTGATTTGGATCAAATTTCTTTTTTCCTCGGTGAAAGAGCATTCCAAAGTATACACGTCAGGGAACTTCTTACATCTTAGGTTTTTATCTGTTCGTTGACAATGCTGTAGCTGGAACTGTAAGGAAGATGGATTTCAAGCATTTAGCTGATATCCACCAAATGATAGTTTTTCAGTAGAAGCCTGTAAAATAATTAAATATTAACCTCATAGCTTTTTATTACCTTTCCATGGAATGTAAAACCACTTAGAAGACTTACAAGACAATGACACTCCAGCTTATTCTTAGTTGTTCTTTAGTTTGGGATAATTGGAAACATCCCTTGATAATGTTCAAAACTCTGCCTCTGCTTATATAATTTTTAATTAGGAGAATATTCATTTATTGACCGAAAAAGGTGAATTCAACCCTTTAATTGTGGCTTCATGTTTTTACTAATAAGTGAGTATTTTTGTTACAATAAAAGGTAAGAACTCTAGGATGAAATAGATATTTTAAATTATCTGTGAATTTCATTTATATATATTGACTATGACTCACATTCCAAAAGTAACCAAAACTCTGGGCTTACATGTGGAGAAACTACTTCTATCCAAAAGGATTACACTTTAAGCTATTTTTGGCAAAATGGATGATAACTTCACCCTTTCTTTAATAGATTCGGTGCCCCTGAGACAAGATCTGTGCAAAAAATAGGCAATGAGATTGACCAAGCATTTGTGTCCACTAAGATGTAAGCTAATTAGTACTCACTGCTTTTGTCAAATTTGTGCAAGTCAACAATACTCCGTGTATGTTGGTCGTATCTTTTTAGGCGATAGAGAGTTGTGTTTTGAAACTTTGACGTCTCTCTTTCAGGTCAAGCTGAATGAACGAATCATAGCCACGTCACAAGGACTCCTGATCCGCTCCGTTCAGGATTCTGACCAAGGACTGTATCACTGCATTGCAACAGAAAATAGCTTCAAGCAGACCATAGCCAAGATCAACTTTAAAGTTTTAGATTCCGAAATGGTGGCTGTTGTGACAGACAAGTGGTCCCCATGGACCTGGGCCAGCTCTGTGAGGGCTTTACCCTTCCACCCGAAGGACATCATGGGGGCATTCAGCCACTCAGAAATGCAGATGATTAATCAGTACTGCAAGGACACTCGACAGCAACATCAACAGGGAGAAGAATCCCAGAAGACGAGGGGGGACTACGGCAAGTTAAAGGCTCTCATCAATAGCCGGAAAAGTAGAAACAGGAGGAATCAGTTGCCAGAATCATAATGTTTTCTTACATGGGGCTTATGCTTCCAGTAGCAATGGTCTGTCTTCAGTGATCAAATTTTGAGCAAAGAATCTCATGCTTTACCCATGGAAAATTCCTGAGAAAGGTGGTTACTCACTCCTGAAGTGAGTGTTACGTGAACTGAAATGAGCATGCATTTTCTTGTATGTATTGACTAGCACTAGACATGTCATGGTCCTCATGGTGCATATAAATATTTAACTTAAGCCAGATTTTATTTATATCTTTATTTACCTTTTCTTCAAAATCAATATGGCGGCTATAAAACTAGAATTCTTACATCCCTTAATTGAACAAGGGCCATAACCCTATGATCTTCCTTCTTTGCTTTAAGGGTTTAGATTTCTAATTGTCAGTGATTTTTATGTATGAAAGCAAATGCCAGGTTAACAACTTTTACATGGTGAAAGTTGTATAAATGCGTGTGACAGAGTAGCTGTCAAAAGAAATGTAACATAGGAAAAAGACAAGGAAGAGGGCATTTAGGAGTCATGTAAGACATGAGTGATTCATAAAGAGAAAACGAGGAGTTTATATGCTTCCAGTGGAATATATTATTGGTTACTTAAAGATTGTAAAAACCGTCAGTTGCTGGTATCTGTCGTTGATTTTTGTTCCTTGTTTCAGGAAGATAAAATGAATGACCCTCACCATGAACATCTTTGATTGGAGTTATGTCGCTGAAGGATTTAAGTTCATATTCTTATGTTATCGTCTTCCAAACAAAAGCACTTTCTTTTTTTGGAAGTTACTTAAGTTATTCTAGACTCAGAGAATATAATCTTATGTTGTTTAATTGATTACTGTGTTTGTTCTACTTTTCTAATCTGTGGGGCCGATTAAACAATATGAGAAGAAAAATTTTTGAAATATCAAACTTGAGTGTGAGGGGTGAAACCATGAAAATGGAAAAAAATGAAAAAACAAAGTAGAAAATGCAATTTTAAGAGAAGTTTATAAAAAAGTGTGACTAGTTTTTAACTTCAATAATTAATTTTGATGATTAACACGTTTTTTATTCCCCAACCTCAGATATCATACTGCTTTTTAAGTCACCAGGTCATTTTTTTATGAGCTTTTGTGTGCACTGGAGAGGTGCTCATTTTGTGGAGAAATGAAAAAAAAATTCTAATATGAATAAAAATAGACATACTTTCTTTTAAAAGAATGTTGGTGCATTATTTTATTATTTTCAGTGGTATAGAAACACAAATGTGGTAAGTTTTGATGAATAAAATAATCTTCTAATTGCATGTTTGGATCATTTTATTAGACTAACTTAATATTGAATTTTTACTTCAAATAACCATTAGATGGGATAAATATGAAAGATTTCTTCATATTCTCATATTTCTTTTAAAAACACAACTTTTGATCTTTCGTTTTATTTACTTTTAAATTTATTTTCATGTTCCAGGTGCAAACAGAAATTGCGTCATAGACCTAATTGAAATCTGGTACAGAATTCTTATTCATAGTTAACAGGAAGGTAATCAAAGTCGATCTATCACCTTTTTAGGCAACTGCAGTATAAAGCTCCAAGAACTAAAATCATTGTCAAAATGAATGTAATCATTAACCGAATCTAAGAATATGATTTATTATTTAAGTGGTGGTAAATCGTGATATTTTAAGAGGCCTCAATGGAGGAGGCAGTGAAAATACACAATATAAATAATGTTCATTCAAAAAAAAAAACTGTTAAATAGAAGCTGTTGTTCCAAATGTGTGTGATTCTGAAGTAGCTTTAAAGCAGCTTATTATACAAATTGCTTGCCTGCTTAAAGGGTGTAACTAAACGTCTTTATTTCTCCTCTACGTGCACAAATAGAAATGTGTGTAGAGCTAAAACCATCTTCTGCGTTTAAGGCCAATCTCTTCTATGTACAGAGTTGAGAGACAAGTTGTTTCAGGGTCAGAGGATAGGGTAACTACACAGGTCCCCTTGCTTCATGTAAACCCAAGCTGATAGACAATAGGGTGTTTAGTTTTGTAATATTATTTGTGCTATTTAATAATTTCTCCTTTGAACGTTGTTAAATTGTATATATTTTTATTACTTTTCTTTTAAAATTATAGAAATCCTTCTTGAACATAACAGCCAAATGTAAAGAAAATTTTCTTTCTCAAAAGTATCATTAACGTATACTGAATGTTTGTGGTTGATTGGTTTTATTTTGCATAGTTTGACAATTCGGTGACTTAATATGTTTCCCATTTGTATTGTACATAAAATTTCCTAGAAACGCACTTTTTTTCAAAGTGTAGGTTTGTGAATAGATTTTAGCATGATGAAACTGTCATTACAGTGAATGTTCACTCTGTGTAAGAAAGCAAACTCAATGTAGTTAGCGCATTAATATTTAATTGGATCTTGAAGAAATCATTTGCCTGGCAAAATAAAACATGTTTAATTCCCCAAGGATGTCTTTAACTTTTGTTTTTAATGTCAGGTTTATAATTGCTTGTTGACGTGGTAGAATCTACTGAATCTTCTAGTTGTTTCTTTTATGTTTTATTTATCCATATTTGTAAAAGTAATGCGTCTAGATATTTCAAAATTCAAACTTCCAGAAGGATGTACATAGAGAAAACTGTCCTGGTACCACTATGCCTCGTTTCTATGTGTTGTTTCTATGTTGCCGTCAGTTTCTAAGTGTATTTTCATGATATTTTTTACATATGCAAGCAAATTCATATTTGTTTTCTCTTTGAGAGGTACTGTACATCCACTCACTTCTGTAGTTATTCAGACCATGTTGTCTATGGTGGAAAAAAAGGTATAGTTTAGGGATGCTTGGCTTTGGGGCCATAACTGCCTGTATTTGAATCCAAGCTGACTGTCTTATCTCGGGAAAGTTACTGAATCTCTGTCTGCCTTACTTCTCTGCCCAAGTTCATACCAGGAAAGTGTTAGGACAGAACATATGATACAGTAAGTATTCAATAAATGTCTTAATATTTTCTTTATGTAGAAAGTGAAATCTTGTTAGAATAGGAAGGAATCTTTCCGTTGTGTTCTTTGTCAAGTTAAATGCCAATGGTCCAGGTTGGGGATCCTGCAGGCAGTGGATCAGATAACACCTTAGCAGGTAAAAGGAACCATTATAAAATTGAGGGGAAAAGAGCCACAGGTTAACTCATAATTCTGCTAACACATTTGAATGACAGAAGTATTAGAGGTTTCTTCTGTCTACTTCTGGGCTTTCAATCTGGAGTAATGTGAGTGCAGAAAAAATAAATAACAAAAATTAGAAGTTATCTCAACAAATCTTCCAATCTGATGATTCTGCGCTACTCGCTAATTGCCTCATTATTTCTCAGTATCTCCTTTGCTTATATTTCAACTTAACTTTAAAATAATTTTAATATATTTCTTATAATTGTAATGCATTTCTGATACTTTATGTCTCCTACCTAAGTGAAAAAAAAATTAAGAAAAAGATGACAGTTTCCTATACCTATTCTTCTAGCTAATGTCAAGAGAGACATTACAGCTTGTTTTGCAGCATAGTTAAGCCTGTACAAAAGTTAAGTCCAGGCAAGGAAATAAACAGACTAAGTAAAAATCTCAATACTCAATTCTCAATTGAGTATTGAGAATTTCATTGAATTTTATGCATCATGACAAAGCTGTGGAACACCATTGTGGAAAATAATTTTTTTTCCTTAGAGTTTACCCCACCATCATTTTATCCCATCACCTTTTGCACAAGAATACAGCCCATCTGCAAAATCGAAGCAAATTGCAACAAATTCTATATATGTGCCATTAAGTGAACTTCATTGTCGATAAATTGTTTTTCATAAGGGGCCTCTGGTATATATTTCAATTTTTATGTTTTCATAACTGATAATTTCCTAGTGCACAGGTATTGAGACTTGGAAGAACTAGCTCCAAGGTAAGAAAATGCCGTCTTCATTCTACTGACTAATGTATTTGTCTATTCACCTCGTAAAATAATACTTTCCACACAGTTTGAATTGTATATTTCTCAGGGCTATTATCTTGCCGTGCTTGAGTGTTACTTACGTAAAGTGCTGTTGAAGAATGATATTATAACACACACATAAAAACTGTTTATTCTATGTAAGGTTACCTCTCAACCTCCAAGTACAAAAGCAAGATGAATTCTGTTCCTTAAGTGTTTTTTTTCCTATCAACTATTTATACAAAAATGTCATCAAAACATTTTATCAGATCAAAAACATATTGACTTCTGCATGGCAAAATGCATATATGATGGAATTATTATGAAAATAAAAGTCATGCCTATTGTTTCTCTGGATATTTTTTAATATACATATGATCCTTGGCTCATGAGGGGATACAATAAGATGAAAGGAATTTCCTACTTTCTTAGGTCTTTTCAAAACATTATTTCTACAATTCTATGTAGGAAAAATAACTTATAACTCCTTGTTTTATCTTTTTCCTGTTACTGATTTGTGCTGGGGGGGAGTGGAGTGAGGGGTTAATAATCATCTTCCCTTCTCTGCTACATCATGGCTCATCCACCAGAGAACTTGGACCTTCCAAGTATCTTCTTTTGAGTTGATGTGAACTGGCAGTTGTGAGCTGTGGTTTGTTGTTGAGAATTGGCTTGACTCATGAGTAGGAAAAGCAGCCATGAGAAACAAAACACTGAGGAGATGCTACCCAAGCCACATCAGCCTAAGATATTCAGCGGAGTCCCAGTGATGTTTTTACTTACGCAGATGTATGTGTGTTATATCCACGGATTATGCACACCCAAATCCGCAAACCAGCTACGTTCAATTTATTTATTATTTCAAAATGAATCTCAGTTTCTGCTTCAAGTTCCCATTCCAGCTTCTCCGATTATAAATGATATAACCTGGGAAGATTACATCCTTCTTGATGAATTGTTGCTTTCTCTAAAATTGGAATTATAATAATATCTATCACATGTTATAGTTGTGAGAATTAAAGGAGATAATGCATGTGGAATTATAGTGCGTGACGCTTAGTAAAAGCTCAATAAGTGTATGCTATTATTTTTCCATCAGGAACGCAAAACTCTATCTTTCAAGTATTTGAGCAGTTGTCTCTTTTTTACCTCAGATTGCGTCTAAATTGGTCAACTGCTATTTGATGTCCTTTATCTGTATTGGCATCTATGGTGTTATCATTTTTCTATTTAACCTTTGCCATCGGTTCACAGGTGTCCTCTGAACTGTGCCTTGTTGCTGATGCAAAATCCTTCCGTGGCAGGTGAGCTTTCCACTATGTCCAAAGACACTTAGGGAATAGGAATTTTTCTGCTATTCTTACACCATTCTGGGAGACAAGCTGAGGGCCGTTCCCACCTAAAACTACTAGGAAGTAAGTGTGTGTTATTTGCCCCTCCAGGATCTTGTACCTTCTCAAGACACAACCCTAGAAGATAGGTAGAAATATAGGACCCACAACCCTATGTGCTCTTCGTCCCCTTCCCCAAGGCACTCTTCATTGCTGCGGCCACTGACAGCGAGGATTATTCATTAAAGATCTCCCATGAGCTGGAGTGGTGGATTTCACCCTTTGGCATTCAATTTCACCCCAAGAGAATTTTGAAAAGCTATGTACCCCTAACACGTTTCTACATTAACATCTAAATTTTTTATACTAAGCTTAAGTAGTTGCAAAGGATATAATTTCTAATACAATATGAATTTTGATGTTTTAAAATAAAAGTTATATTCCTTTCTAAAATGATGTAATTGAATCAAAATATAGGAATTTGGTGCCCACCATCATATTTTTATTTATTTATCTTTTTTTGTGAGGAAGATCATCCCTTAGCTAACATTCGTGCTAATCCTCCTCTTTTTGCTGAGGAAGACCAG